ACAACAGCACAGCCAACTGCACACCAGGCTAACCCCCGCCCCCTAGGTTGATTCATCGCCCCAATTCAGCAGGAAGTAGATACAGAAGAGACTCTCCGCCCCTTTTTCCACATGCCATGGACATGTTGGCTGTCTACTGTCATCCAAAATCAAAGAGTGGGGAATGTTAGGAGATCGCACATGTTAAAATATAACGCCCCCCCCAGCCATTTTATATCTTACTTCCGGGTTCTTTCCCGACTCTGAGTCCTTTCTCCCGCTGAAATTGTAAAGCGCGAAATTCAAAAGACAACCTGGCTTGCGATAGGATAACGAAGACCGCTTCTCCCAAGGAAGGATCTTCCGTTGCCTGCCCTATAAATATCCCAGTACTTCCTCTCCTCGTTCTCTCGCTCTCTGCCCTCCAACTCCTGCTCACCTCCCTATAATAAAAATCTCCTGCCGTACCTCTCGGTGCGTGAGTGGCATAATTGGGTAAGGGGCACCCAAAGGGGGCTCGAGACCCCTTTCAATCCCAGCACTTGGTGTGGGGGGGTGTTTTGAGGCCCAAGGATCGCAGCAAGTTCTAGGCCAGCCTGGACTACAAAGTGAAGCCCTGTCTCTAAAAAAGTACCCGTTTCTCAGAAGCTAAACAGAACTTCCATATAGGCTAGCAGTTTCACCTAGGTAGAATGGATGAATTAGGTCCTCACGTATGGCTACAGGGTGCTCAGAGCAGCACTAATCACAATAACTGAAAGTCTATCACCAGAGGGATAAATCAACAAAACATGGTGTATCCATGCAATGGAATGAGTCAGCCATAAAAAGGAAGGACAGTAGCTTTGCTTCAACATGGATGAACCCTGAACACAATGACAGAAGGTCCAGAAGGCCAAGTGCCATATGTTCCTCTTGTAAGGCATCTGAAGAGTTGAATTCATGGAGACAGAAAGTAGAACAGAGGTTCCTAGGGGTGGGGAAGAGGAGATGGGAGTTATTGCTTAATAGCTACAGTTCAGTTAGAGTGATAGGAACATTCTGGACAGGGATGATGGTGATGGTTTCATAGCATTGTGAATGTGATTAATGCCACTGAACTATTTGCTTAAAAATGGTTAAAATGGCATATTTTTAACAGTGTCACATTTTACTTATTTTGAGGCAGGACCTCATTATTTTCAGGCTGGTCTTTAACTCACTCTATAGTCTAGGCTGACCTCGAACTCAAAGCAGTCCTCTTGGCTCAGCCTCCTAAGTGCTAGGATTAGAGGTGTGTGCCACTGTGCCCAATTTTTAGAGTCACAATTTAAAAAATAATGTACTAAGCCAAATTCCACTGAATTGTATACTTTAAATGAGTTGAATTTCATGGTATGTGATATTCATGATATTGTTATATTATAATCACCTAATATATTACATATCTCAGTATTACTGTTAAAAAAGAATATTCTGTCAGTGTAGTTAAGAATATCCTGGCTAAGAGAGAAGAGGCTGACTATGGGACATATGAGAATTCTTACTGATCGTGGACATATCATTCTCTAGTCCAGTGGTAGAGAACCTATGGCATGCATGCCACAGCAGGCTGTATCACCGAAAGCTCTAAAAGGTTCGCCATCACTGCTGTAGTCTATGGTGCCCCGAGGAGTCCCAGAAGGAGGACTATGACTGACTACGACTGACTATGTTGGCTCCACCTAAGGACAACTGGTTAAAGTCTCGCATTACCAGGACTCTCAATACCATATCCTCCCATCCTTGCCTGTTAAGAGCTCTCTGGGAAGTCCCAGGCCATGTTGTGTGTGGGTCCTCACCCAGAGATTAAGTTCTCTGGAACCAGAGCAAACTGGTCTCCTGATATAGCTCTGATTTCCAACTAGCGTATGGATTGTGGAGGTAGAGTTTCAAATAGTCATCCACTCAATATATGTACGGATATTAGGGCATTTCTCAAAACTCAGCCCAAGCCCCACATGGTAGCAGATATAAAGCAATGACCTAACTAATCAAAGGCCCAATACACTGACGTATAAATGAGACAGCACCACATAGCACAGACCCCAAGGAATAGGTGGACCTAAGCCAAAGCCCCAGCGTCACCACCTACTTGTGTTAGTTCCTTGTACCTCAGTTTCCCAATCTGGAAAACCGACAGCCTTCTTTCTGTGTCTGTCATGAGATTGGGAGGACGTGTGCCCAGCTGATAGACTGCACACATGATCTGTTTTGGGCGACTTCACACTGGAAGCCATGCTAAGTCCATCTTATGGTCAATTTTGATGATCATTTGGTTAATGTGGTGCTCAGTTTGTCTACTCTATAATTACTGTTGTTTTCTCCCTTGCAATTAACACAAAGTCTGTGGGGACACATTTTAAAAGCATGCAAATGTCCTGCTGCTCTCCTTTTACTGTGATTTAGCACCTAGCAAAGACTCTTGCAAGATCTGATCTTTTGGATGCTGACTTTCCAACATTAGCAGTCCCTATGTAAGCCAGAGCCCTCCCTCCTGTCCCATTTATCCATTTGTTATCACTATGGACACCTGTGTTTCTAGTGACTTAACAGGCATCATTGCATTTAATTAATTTAGCACCAAGATTATCCCAGATTTAGCCAGTGGGGGCCTCTTCAATTTGGCTTCTGTGGGTGTTTGTTTGTTTGTTTGTTTTGTTTTTTGGCAGTGCTGGGATCAGAACACAGGGCCTTGTGCATTGTGCATGCCAGGCAAGAGCTGTACCATGAGTTACATCCACAGCCCTTCCTGTATCTTTTGCCACGCTCTCAGCATTTGGGGGATGCACTTTCTTACTTTCTAATAAGACTCATCATAAGTCTTCCCTGCCCCAGCCCTAGGATCAGCATTAGAAGTGCTGGTTCCTCGCAGTGGGGAAGAGTATCAGGGCCATCGATAGGAGGCTGACTCAGCCAGTCTACAGGCCCTGTGTGCACCTGATCTGCTGGTTTTGACTGCTGCCCACGACACCGTACCATGTACCCACCACTCTCTCTCTACTCTGTCAATGATGGTCACCCAGGTAGACTTGTCTATTCTTAAGGGCGGCTGTGAGAAGGTCTTTGGATATGCCCAGGGGTGCATCAAAGTGTGTGTGTGTGTGTGTGTGTGTGTGTGTGTATGTGCGCGTGCGCGTGCCACCGAGCTGGCCTCTTGGGGGTCTGTGGGATCCTCTGAAACTCCTGCTAAAGGAAGGCTTTCAAGGGGCACAGCAGGGACTCACTATCTATTTCCCCTGATTTCACTGCTGAGATCATTTGGCAGCTCAGAGGTAGGAGCAATGGGATCATCAGACCATGTCAAAGCTAGCAGGATCAACAAACCAGAGCAGTCAAACTAGTAAGCAACAGCCCAAGAAGCCAGCTGAGTTTCCAGATAAAGCTCAAAGATCATTTATGCTCACAAAGCCCGGACAACAGCAAGAGATGGCTGCAGGGTAGAGAGGAGGATAGGAAATGATCTGCAATTGTGGATGAGGAAACCAGAGCTGGGAGGGCTGCATGAGCTTGGGGCCACAGAGAATGTGGGCCTTTGGACACTGGCACAGCTGGAGAGGAAAGGAGCCTCAGCTTTTTCTATAGCCTTTGGGTCTTACCCTCATCCCCAATCACATTCATCTTGCTGCTCCTTGAATCCCAGCTCCAAGGCCACCTCCTGTCACTCCTCCTGGTCTCCTCTAAACTCTCATAACACTTTACACCACACTTATATCATGAGGCACACTTGGCAACTTGCCGATGTTTGTTCACTCCTATGAAGGTGACGCTTAGGACAGCACCCAGAGCGTGCTCAATGACCATAGGTGGATAAATGCACAGCTCACCTTGCAAACGAGACTCCAAGTTCCTCCGGGCTAGAGACCATGGTGGGCCAGGCACAGGTGGACTCACCATCATTGTTACTTCATCAACTCTGGGACCTGCTACATTCCAGAATCAGAACACATCCCCAGCTTGATACACTCTGTGCCCATGCACCCAACAGCGCCAGTCCTCACTGGACCAAAGGTAGGACAGGACACTCGCCCTATAGCCCTAGTAATCCAATTTAGAGGTTGAGAAGATATTGATTAGCACAACTGTAATCACCAGGCCCCCTCATCTGGATCTAGTCAGTGTGAATGTGTTGGCACGTGGCCTTCTCAACTTCCTAGTGTTCCTGGGTGGCCTCTTAGATACCCAGCTGTCATGGGCCTATCTTTGTGACATGTCTATGGCTCCATCACAGCGGGTGGATGGATCTGTCACTTTGGCTACTTACTCCTTGTTGCTGGAACAACATTCTGCTTGTTCCCAACTTTCCATTATTCCAGAAGGTGAAAGGTTGGGAATCCAGTTACTTCTGTCTCCTTCAGGCTATGACTGTAGAATGTAAGATTCTAGAATCCTTTTATGAAGCCAAAGCAAGATTCCCTTAACTTTCCAAGGACCCTGAGTGCATGGGGGACTGTCAGGAGTAGGGGGAGTGACAGGGCAAAGCCTCATGTCCTGGTGGGGACAAAAGGCAAAGACTCTGTGGCCTGTGGCAGGGAAAAAGAATCCAACCAACACGAACACCATCCCGTCTGACCTCCTCCTAGTATAGTCTTGCTGTACTCCTGCCTACAGATGGGAGCTCAGAGTAATCGATACTGATACCTGCAGAATCAGGGCAGGCAATGTTCACAGACCATTACTTTCCAGGGTGAGCCTGACTTCCTCTTACTGGTCATTAGCATTATTGACTGGGAAACTTGTTTCTTGCCAGTGGCACCAACTGAGAGACAAGATGATAAACATGATCACTCTGGAACCCTGTTCTTCATTCCTGTGACCCCTGTGGTCCCAAAGGTCCTCCTCCCCTCCTGGGTCCACAGAAGTGGCAAGGAGGGTGAAGACGGAGGAGAGAATAGCGGCCTCCATCATGACAGAAGCATCCTGAGATTCCAGGCCAGCCAGGAGTCAGGCTGGCCTCACACCTCAGCCTCAGGGAAGCTCTTGCTGCTTAGAGACCAAAACAACTAAGATCAAGGATGTTGTGCAGAGCTAAAATTCATACCCCACTCAGAATGACACAGGAGACAAGCAGGCAAACTATGGTAACCTGGCAGCAACAGGGAATTGTGCCTGGCACTTCAGGGCCATGTTCCTTTTCCTCAGGCCATGCTCAGGGCCGGAAGGGAAGCAGGCAGGAGACAGTGACTAAGCTTCCCCTACTTCCACAAGGACCCAGGCTGAATATCATAACTAGGATGGGGCAGGAGGCCAAGAGAATTAGAATAGCCCCTGCCTTCAGGGAGCACATGGCCAGCCCTTAACATTCCTGCAAGCTAAGTGCCAGCCCCAGGGGAGGTGGGAGGGATGGAGAGTTGACAACCACTGGTCCACAGCTAGAGATACCAAGGCCAGAACACAGGCCCCAGGGCCAGCCCTGCCATTTAAAGCAACTGCAGGCAAGGCCTGAGCTTCTCTGAATCTCAATTTCTCTTCTTGATGATGGCCCTTCTTCCTCATGGTCTGTGGTTGGGGCCATAGGGAAAATCAAAAGGACCATTAAGGTGCTTTCCAAGGAGCATGGGGTTTACAAGGCAGGCAGCCCTGTAGAGAGGATGGGAAACTCAAGTGTTCAAGAATCTCCAATGAACCTTGTGATGTTCTTTTTCTTCCCTTACAGGATGAGCTGCAGAGGAAGAAAAACAAAGGAGAAAAGCTGTGGCTTCCTTTCCCGCTCCTGGGTCCAGGCTGGCTGGCAAAGGTGGGCTAATGGGCATGAAGTAGGAGCAACTACCACAATCTTTCCTTCCAGACTCCTATGGCCGGATTTGATACACAATCAAAGCCCAATCATACTTTGGCTGCTTAGGAGACAGCCAAGTGAGGAATTCAAATTACATAGCCCATATCTGGCAGTTACCTCTTCCTTTTTCAGCACCCTCCTCCCCCTCAACACCCCACTTTCCCTCTGAGGTCTGTGCCCTCCTAGGCTCTTGCTAGATGCCCTCAGAAAGAATGACAATTTTCCCCATCACCTCTCAAATGCCTGCCATTTCTTCTCTGGTGGCCAGTAGTATGGGTGTCTAAAGGGAAGGTTTAGCTAGAGCTGCCTAATCTGCTGTTGCTGCACAGGGCCTGGATGGTGGCGGGCAGAAGGAACCGCCTCCCTTCAGAGTCTCCCCTGAGTAGGACTGGGGTGCAGATGGCCCCTTCCTAAATTCTTCTCCAGGCATGGAGATTATGGCTGCTGATTCCAATTGTACAAGTATTTCTGCTCACTGTCAGAGAAATGAGACCTCTCTTACAGCTAGAGAAATAAGAAAAGGGTCCAGGATAACCACTCATCCAACCAGTGGGGATGAGTTAAGGCCCTTCCTGGACCCCAGCTCTGGAGACACAAAATGAGATGGAACTAAGGGGAGTGATCTGGACCCCAATAATTGCTAAGTAGGAAGCAGCCAGGGAGCCGAGGAGCAAGAAGTGGGCAGGGTCCAGCCAGTGCAATAATCCACTCCTCAGGCTGAGAACCAACCTGATTTGTAGTGTTTGTCCATTTTCAGTTTTCAAGGTGTAAATGCCCTCTTTACTGTGGCTGATTTCAAGCAACCACTCAAAGTCCTGCCACACACAATGCCTGCACCAGGTGGTGTAGCCCATCCAGACTGGATGTCTTGCTTTCCAGTAAAAGGGGACAAAGCTCTCCACATACACTGAGATTCTCTGGCATAAACCTGTACTTGAAGATTGGCCCACTGTTTTGCTCTTTTTGTGTTCTTGGGTTTGGCTTTCTGTGATTTATTGTAAAGTTTCTTCTGGAAATAACAAGTGAGTGGTCTACAGGGACACCAAGAAAGGGGTTTAGTGGGCCTGCAGCAGCAGAACACCATGCCCAGAGTCCAGGTGGAGTTGGGGGAGGAAAGATGTTAGTCCACAGAGCTTAGCACCACTGCCCTCCAGACAACTGCAAGCTCTACAGCCGGGCTGTCACTCCTATTACCCTGATGTTACCCCCCCTGACACGCCCCAGAATTCAGAGATGGGGTGGAATGGGGGTGCAGCTTCTCCAGAGGCCAGAATGGGGTTTGGCAGTGCCGGTTTATAGCATTCCCTCCCCAGGTTTCCAGGTATAGAAGTGAAACCTATGCCTCGGCCAGAAGGGCACTTGTTTATCGGAGCTTCTTTCTTAGCTCAGTGGCTCTGTCTTAACTGCACACTGGAATTACCTGGGGATTTTTAAAAAGTCATGAATCTCAAACTTCACCATCTGATTTAATTGGCATAGGATGTCCAGTCTGGACACAGGGGTGTTTAAATCTCACTGGCTGGTATGAATGCTCAGCTAGTTTCAGAGCCCTGCTTTTCCACACAAGGACTAATGACAGCATCTGGGGAACACACTGACAGGGCGCTTCCATCCTGGGACACTGTGCCAGGATTGGGGCGATAGCCTTGGAGCCTCAGGAGAGCAGCCTTACTGCCTCATTACCTTATACGGCTCTCTCTACCCCAAGAGAGCTTTCTTCCAATCAGTTACTTGCTTCTGCTGCAACTTTGCTGTGGCTTTCTATCCTATACCTGTATGCAAAACGCCTTTCTTCTGGGGCCAAGTGCTGTCCTGAATAGCTGGGCCTCTGAAGCAAGACTGTGTGGGTTGAAATCCTGGTTCTGTCCACATAATGTGGCTCTAGCCAATTCTTTAACCTCCCTGTGTCTCAAGGTTGCAGAGAGGATTAAACAGGAACAACCTCGAAACACGCTTAGCAAAGAGCTGGATTTGAAGTGGAGGGTCACTGAAAGACGGCTAGTGTAAACTGTGATGCCAAGAGCCCCATGAGATCCAGGAGTGTGCTTTCTCTATGGGCCTCAGTTCACTGCACGGCACTGAGTAGCACACTCAGCCTAAACCCTGTCTGTGCTTAGACAAGCCTCTCATGCCTTGAATTAGGCTTGCAAGGCTGGGCTCGAAGAGCCAGAGATCAGGCTGCTCTCCAAAGCTCAGAGGGAGCCAGAGATGGGAGGTGTTGGCACTGGTAGGCAAACAGAGCGTGGAAGTGTTGTGGTTTTTGTTGTTGTTGCTGTTGCTCTGTTGTGTTTGAAGCAAGTGTCAAAGAACGTCTTGCTGTTCGCTTGCCTGCTGCCAGCAGCTTGCCAACAGCATCCTGGAAAACTGAAGGTTCTGGCTCACGGAGGCTTCACTACACAGTGGCTGGCACAGACAGTGCCATTTGGGCAGAGACCAAGTATGTGGAATGTCTCTTGCCCTGACACCAAGGCTGTTGCTATTTCCCTGTGGGCTGACACACCTGGGGTAGGGGCTGCTAACAAGTACTGCCTTGAGTCTGGGGGCCGCATCTTATTGGCACTAATCACATCTTATTGGCACTAATCGCTGTTGAAACCAGTTTGTTTACTCGAAGACCTCTCTCAGGGTGTTTGCCCAGCTAACAGGTACTCTTTGAGGTATTTGTGCAATGATTGCTTCCCCAGCTGCCTGCTAGCAGGAGGCAGGATAGATGCCTGCAGGAAATGCCTGGATGTAAGGAGGAGCTTTGCGGGTGCTGAGTGCAGTGTAGAGAGCATGAGTCTGCTGTGCAAGCAGGTGGCCACCACCTTGTAGGGTAAATCATCCTCCCTTGGATCCTGTGATACTCAGCACACAGGGCCAGGGCAAGGCTTGAAGTCTGGGAAGCTGCTGTGCTCAGGGGGAAATTCCAGCCCCATTGCCAGGGAGGAGATAATTCCATTTCTCCCCCAGATGGGTTTGGTGCCCCAGATTCAGAAGCAGGAGGGAAGTGTCCCAGATGTGCCTGCCCACAGGGTCCCTGCCTTGTAAGTCCTTGGCCAGTTGAAGCTCCACATTAGGATCATTCCCTCTTCTCAGACGCTAAATGGCCATCTCATATCCCTTTAAAGATGAATGAGGCAGAAGGGGAAGAGGGAAGGAGAAAGAACCCAGCTACTCCAGCACCAACTCTCTCAGTTCTTTGCAGCTGAGTGCCATTCTGTACTGCCCAGTTACTGGCTCTAATCTTTTCATGCTACATCAACTCACTGAGGTCTTGCCCAACTTTAACAGTCCCTGATTATATGCTGCAAGCCTTTGCCTGACCTTTCCTTTGCATCTCCTTAAAGCTGCTTCCACCCCCAAGCAGAGTTCTCTGCCCACCAGCCTGATTCTAAACTGTACAAACTCACTTAATCCCATATTTGCCCGTTCTGGAGGAGTAAGTAAACAACTGAGAGAGTAAACAACTTGCTGGGAAGATGAACCCACATTTTCTTGAACTCTTGCAATTAGGGTTGGTGATGGGTGCTGCAGTGATGGCTGGATGTGGCTTTCTGCTTCATTGTCCTAGGGTCCTGCCCAGTCGCAGTGGCCTCCAGTGCCCACCCAGCAGCCACCCATGCGGACATCTTGGGCTCCACAGCTGCCCTGTGGCCTCCTGGTCCCCCACCCTCTTGACTATGAGAGGAAAGGACTCTGGAGGAAAGGTTCCATCAATGGTGTTCTGAGAGTGACTGTGGGGGGCCCAGCCCACAGCTGCCACCAGTCTTTGACGCTTTTTCAGTACTTAAGTCCCTATGAATCTCTTTTCCTTAACACGCCCATGGATTCTTTTCCTGCATTTCCTCAGCTGGCGTCTGGAGGATCAGAGGAGGCACAGTTGAGGAAGGTGATTTGTGATCAGGAGGCCCCAAGCAGAGGAAGGTTACTCATAATTATCTACACACCAGGACTTCAAGGGGTGCCACGGGTAGGAAGTGCCCTAGAAGTTCACAGAAGGGCTTTATGACCTGCTGATGAGTGTACATCAATGCCATCTGGAGAGGGCTGTGAGGATACAGGTAAGGGCTACTCTTCCTACTTTTCAGAGGAAGAAGCTGTTTGCATAAGTATTAAAGCTGGATCTTGAAGCCTATATCCAGCATCCTCTCTACCATCCCTAAGTAGGAAACAGAAATCACTCAACTGTCAACTGTCTCTGGCAGAAATGATTCAGTTCCCCTGTGAGCCAAACGGTACCTAAGTGTACAGCCTGAATGATAGCGCAGCATGCCTCAAGGCATGTGTGTGTGTGTGTGTGTGTGTGTGTGTGTGTGTGTGTGTGCGCACATGCACGCGTGCGTGCAGGGGCAGGTGCCTTGTTCCTTTGGAGGTTGGCCACCCAGAATCCTCCAGAAGGACAAAGGGGGCAAACCTTCACCAGCCAGCTGACCCTTCCCTATACTCTGTGATCCATTGGTCAGCCTCTACCCAAGCTTTGCACAGCATCCTCTGGTTCCTGTGTCCTGGCCCCTGGATAAAAGTAAGAAGTGAATAGTGGGCAGGGAGGGAAAGGCTGAGCTGGCAGCCAGGTCTGGAGTGAGTGCAATGGCAGGGCAACGGGCAGACAGTGAGAGGAGACCCCAGGGAACCCTGGCCCCAGCTCCAAGTCTGGGGGTAGAACTGTGTTCTCCCCACTCTGTAGGCAAGGCTGTGAGCACTGGAGGCTACAAGGAGCGCGATTTGCTAATTCACTGATCAGACTGGGAGCTTCACAGCAGGTCAGGGAGAAACCAACCAGCCGCCCCACCTCAACCTGTTTTAGGAGCTGGCAGCACCATGTAGCAGGCAGCAAGCTCCAGAGAGAAGGGGTGCCAGCTCCAAGGAAGTACCAGCTACCAAGGCCTCACAGCACAATCCCCAAGGTCATGTTGGCCAGGTCGGCAGGGGAGACCGAGTTGGAAGGCTAGTAAGCATGTGGCTTCCAGCGTCTGCAACTCTCTACAGCCACAGAAATTCTGACGCGGTAGTGTGAGAAAGGACCCAGGACTCTCCGACCAGGGTCTCCAGTGGCAGCGGGATATTGGTTCTGAGAAATTCTGTGCTTGGAAGGATGGTGAGGACGAGAATAGAGTAAGCTTCCCTGAGATGACACCTGCTGCTCCAAGAAAAAGCCCAGGACCAGCTCTTTGCAGACAATGCTGTCCACGGAAGTCCCCTGGGGATCTTATTCAAGTGCAAATTCTGATTTGCTAGCAGAGTTGGAGGTTCTGAATTTCTACCAAGTTTCCAAGGGAGACTCACCCTGCTGGTCTCCAGAGAAGTGAGAGGCCAAGCTGGGGCTCTCAAACTTCAGCATGCATCGGCATTACCTGGAGGGGAGGTAGCTTGTAAAGATAGGCTGCTGCTCCCACCTGGATGGAGCAGGGCTGGGCCAGGACTGAGAATGTGCTTTCCTAACCACCTCTCAGCTGCTGCTGCAGCTCATGGCCCTAAAACCCCATCTGGAGAAATATTGGCTAGATCAATACAAGGGCAGGCCATAAATGCAGCCCAAAGCACTCCTATGTCACAGACATTTTTAAGTACTGCTGCTCTGTTATTAAATTCTTACCAAGAACTTATTTTTCTATGATCTCTCCCTGTATCCTGCCCCTCTCCAAACAGTGTGGGTACACAGGAAAAAAAAACAAGGAATTGAGGAGTATGGAAAGTTAAATTCTAGCTTAACTGAAAAAGCCTCCTGCTTAGCAACACGAGGTCTCCAGGATTCATGATTTTCCTTTCACCCCCACATGTTCCAGCACTGAATTGCTATGCAGCACCAAGTACCTCTGAGCAAGCAGGGAGAATTTAATAATGGTCCTGAACCCACCTGCAGCCATGTGTGCTGGCCAGAGGGACACAGAGCTGACGTCATCACCATTAGATGGGTGACTCCCTGTGGTCACGCGATCACTTATGGTCACACTGAATGCATCCCCTCCTCGGGGACCCTCCCTGGATCCCCCTGGGAGCCGCATCCCCCAGGACACATAGACGGCCACCCTCTGACTGGGAATCCAAGCTATGGCACACCCTACCCCTGCAGCTATGACCATGTTCTGCCTAGGGGTCTCCTATTTGCTCACACTAACGCCTGCAGGCAACTTGAAGTCAGGGCCTGCCACTCCTTTGTCTTTGTAGCCCCTGCTTCTCCAGAGACTACATTTTCCTGAACAGTCTTGCTTATAAATACTTTAAAAGCTTCCACATACAGTCAGCCTTCTGTACTGTGGGTTGTACATCCATGGAGTCACTGAGCCATGAATTAAAAATATTCAGGAAGAAAATTGTATTGGTACTAAGCAGGGCTTTTTCTCCTTGTCATTAGTCCTTACACAGAGTAGTATAACAACTAGGTACATAATGTGTATGTTGCATAAGGTCTCCTAATCCAAAGATGACTTAAAGGGTATGGGAGGATAGGGGTAGGTTATAAGGAAATAACTTCTATTTTACAGAAGAGGCTTGAGTATGTGCAAATTTGGTAACCTCAGTGGTCCTGGCACCATCTCCTGGGGCTATGGAGGGACAACCTGTTACCGCCTGGTTTGGAAAACAGGCCATCCCTGAAACTTGCAAATGACCACTGTCTGAACTATAAGCTACACTTTTCTCTTTCAGGAATGGCTAGTGCAAAAAACTGTGTCCTGGCAGGCCAGGACCCAAGGCCCAAGCAGCTTCCCACCTGAGGCATCTGCTGCTGTGGGTGTGTGTCATGGGGACAGCTGGGGGAGGGAAGAGACCCCTTGATCAGTTCTGCTTCATTTACTTGATCAGGCGTGAGGATCTGGCCACAGTTGAGGAGAATGGTAAGACATGAGGTGGGACTTCCAGGTGGAATGCAGACCATCAGGCTGGGTGGGGCGGAGATGAGGGGAAGGGAGAATGTATGGTGTGACTGGGACAAGAGCTCGGGAGGACAGGTGGCTAGGCTGGCTGAGACGGACCCCCACATCCCTGCAGGGCAGCTTGTAGGAGTCCCTTTGTGACGTTTTTCATCATGACCCACAAAAAGACATTGAATTTTTCATCGTGACCCATAATATATACCTGTACATACCCACAGTAAAACTGAAATGAAAACCCACAAAACAGTAATTACCATGCCACATGTGATATACTTTGACATTTTCTATTCTATTCTATCTCATTAAAAACTGCCGGTCTCAACCCACTAATCTGACATTACAATTCACTGGTGGATTATAACCTGCAACTTGCATTAATCCACCTTACTGTGTCTCCGTTATTTCAGTGGAACTTCAAGGCTTTGATATTCTTGTTCTCCATGGTGTGCCCAATCAGCGGAGTATCGGCTGTAAGCCAGACACTACACTGAGTGCTGTGGGACGGGGTGAGGGCTTGGAGAGGAGAGGATGTAACCACCCTTGGGACAGGGAAGGGTCAGACACACAGGCCAAAGGGCTGGCAGTGCAATGTGGCAGATAATGTGACCTGTGGGCGCCCGGCCACCAGTGAGCACTGAGCATAGGCCCACCACCTCCTAGCATTGGGTCATAAAGCGGACAGAAGTATTCCCGTCCCTCCCAGTCCTGTTGAGGCCCTGGTGGTCCTCATCCTCCCCCCGAGAATGACCCAGAGGTGGCAGGCGCTCATCTGGGCAGCATGCCCAACAAGAGAGGAGCCTAACTGATCCTGGTGCCTGCTGTGCTCATGCTGTAGGTGTCGTTTGAGGATACTCTCATAAAAATTTTGTTTTGTTTTTCCAAAGAATTTTGTTTTCATTTTCTTTTTTTTCTGAAGGGGAAAGATAAGCCATTCTGAAGACACCTCAACCTCCAACTCCAATTACCCTGATGAGATTGGGCAGGAGATCGGGCACAGCTGGAAAACAGTGCCAAGCTATTTCCACAGTGGAGGACAGCAGCCCTCACCACCTCCACGGCACCAGATCCTCCCTCTGGCCAACCCTCTGCTGCCCGCTTCCTTTAGCCAGGCAGGCTATGAAGGACATGGCAATGGCCTAACTAACTCAGTAGAGAAGCTGCTGAGTTATCAGAATGGACAAAGGAGAGAGAGAGTGTGCGGGAATAATGGCACTGGCCCGCACAAAGCACACGATCCCTCCTCAGATAATCAAAATCTCCCCAGAGCCCTGGCTCTTCATCAAATGGTATAATGACTATAAAAGGACTTAGGAAAATAAGAGCAAAATGGAAAGAGATTAGAAGTAACACCAGTGGCATCAGAGCAGCATTAAATTTAGAGGCAACAAAAGAGAGACAGACACACAGGCAGGCAGGCAGGCAGGCAGAAAAGCAGAGACAGGCCAAGTGCCTCTTCTCTCCAAGGAGATTAGACTGCTAGCTGGAGAGGCCATTCAGTTCTTCAAGGACCCAATGAGACAGAGAGGTAGGCAATAGTCACAACCTCAGCAGAATCCAGCCCCCAGCCCCAGAACCACTGTCTGTAGAAGGCATAGACTGGATACTCTGGAGCCTTTTACGTGGGTACAGCCCAGGCAGGCAGATGGAGACTCAGAGAAGGACAGCTTCTACAGAGCTGCGAGCTCAGGGCTGTACTATGAGGAAAGCTGAGACTCACTACCAGTGGAAGCCATTGTCCAACCCAGCCTCAGGCATACGGCATGGCCACACAGTGGCTGCCTTCCCAGGCCAAGTGTGCTCTGCTCAGATATCAAGATGAGCAAGCCCAGGCTTCTCCTCATCTGTGCAAGCCAGAACCTTGAGCCCTGAAGAGCCCTGTGCAGCAGCTGCAGGCCAGATGGGCCGGGCCACTCACCCACGATCTCGTTCTCCTCCAGGTTGATAGTCTCCAGCATCAGCAGGGTGGTGAGCTGCTCTGGGAAGTCTCGGAACTGGTTCCGGGACAGGTCGATAGCCTTGAGGTGCTGCAGGCCGCTAACCTCATTGGGGAGACGATGTAGGAAGTTCCCTTCTAGGCGAAGCTCTGCCATGTGGGCAAAGAAGAGAGAAGGGTAAGCAGGAGGCCCTGCCTGGAGACCACAATGGCTACTGTTAGAGGGTGGGCCAGGGGTGGAAGCAGAGAAGGCCCAGGCCCCAACGGAAGTCACCAAGTAGCCGAGTTCCTCTTAGCTGACTCTGGAAGAAGTGGTAATCCTACCACTGTTTAGGCAAGACCTGCCATTCCTACAGAGGTCACCTACCTTTGGCTTTAAAATAGAATGTTCCCAACAGAGAACCGGACCTAAACATAGGAGTACATGTTCTGGCTCCCCTCAAACCAGGACACAGGATGGGAAGCCCACCTAAGGGACATGACTGCCCCTGGCTACCTGTTCCAGAGACCACTAGGCCAGCCAAATTCTTTCTGGGTCAGTCTTTGTTCCTTGCCACCACCGATGACCAATGAGACTTGACTGGTTTCCTGACCCAGAGTGACTGCTACCAAAGCTAGGAGTGATCTATGTGGGGACCTGCATAAGAATGGCCGGGCCAGTGGCAGTCCCCCTGTTGGGGCTTGGCCCAGGCATTGCCCAGAGACAGGTCCAAGTGAAGCCTGAGGCTGAAATAAACGCCAGGAGAGACTGGAGACTGGAGAGTTCACAGGAACCCCGTGTGAGGAGGAGGAGTTGGGGATCAATGCAGCGCTATGACAGGGAGACCAGCAGTCCCTGCTGCCTGGGTGCCAACCCCAACCATGCCACCTATGACCATTTACTCAGAAAGTTATTTTACCCAGTTAGGGCTTTGTTTCCTCACCTGAGGACAGGAGCTAATAGTAATCTCTGCCCCCGAGGATTTTGAGGGTCTAATCATTAATAGAAGTAAAGCAAAAGGAGAGAAAGACAACTGGTGGGCCTCTGCTTCCAGGCTGGTTCCCTGTCTACATGTAACTTTACAGGCAGCCCTTTCTCTGGGACATGGACCTCCCAACCCTGCTTGACCCAAAGGAAAATAGGCCCAGAAATGCCAAGTGACCCGAAGAATGGCATTTGTCTCTTCCTTCCAGGGCCAGCTTTGTGTCTAGGTGGTCAATGCATGCACATGGGGTTCCATGCTGAGAAGGGGTAGAATGTTCTGTGGGCCATCAGAAGCCTTAATCATTTTACCCCAGAGTCTATGTTTTGTAAACAGTGCTGGGGTCATGGAGTCTATACTCATACAGGGGCCTGCCTCCCCATCTCCCTGGGAGTTGCCTGGCTTCCCCTTCTCCAAGCCTCCTCTGACTCTTTTAGTGGGCCATTCCCAGTGAGAAGGTTCCGAGTCAGGCATGCGGGCCCTGTGCAGTCTCAGGGAACAGCATGGTGGCAGCTGCATCCAGGGCCCCTGGGCTGGTAGCACCATGGTATGCCTGGCTGGCAGTCAGCTAGAGACTGAGTCTTGGCATGAATGAGCCTCTTGTCCACCCCTGACCCAGGTACTGAGAGGTCCCAGTGCCTAGGTTAAAGATCCTTGGAGACGCCCGTGTGCCGCGGGCTGGGGTGGTGCTTCTGGGGAAGGATAGACACCCAGCCTAGCTTCCCCAGATCACCCTCCGCCAAGGTAAAATATAGCTGTCCAGCAGCTGGAAAGAGCAGAAATTCAGCCACTATCAACCCTGCTTCGAGGACAGTGCCTGGGCACCTGGGAGTCTGCACAACCTTTCTGCCTCCTTCCCAGCCTCCTGAGCCTGTTTGAGCCTGTCCTTTCGGCCCACTCATAGCACCTTTGAAAATGAGCTACAAAATATGAGCTGTGTCACCTCACATGCCAGGTAAGTGCTCTGAGAATTGCCTTTAAAACTTGCACTGTACAACATAAAGATGCATGGTAAAATCCATACTACATTATTATTTTCCTTACTTTGAATGACATCAAAAAGCAAATAAAAAGCACATAACACACTGACAGAGAGACAGCAGAAGAAAGGAGAAAGCTTTCTATGTACTTGTAAAGCATTTCTCCCAAATAAGAGTCCCGAATTCTCATTTTGGCTACGCCCCAATCATGCAGCCAACTCTGTCCCCACTCTGTGCTCCACACAGCTCTGAGGCACAGATCTATGATGGAGCCCTGGGTTGGTGAGCCCCTCTCAGGATTCCCCACAGCAACAGCAATACCCCTGCCCCCATCCAGGGCCTCTGTCCTAGTGTGCTGGGCTCTGGGCAGGCAGGAGCTGCGTCTGATTCATCTTTGTCCCAATATCTAGGCTCCTGCAGGGCACTTTGTTGTCACTCAGCAAATGCTGGATGAGTAATAATTCTTCTCCCCTCAGGAGACAGAGAATGTAGGGGCCTGGGTTACCTCCTACTGTTCCTCCTCTGAGGATGTCCTAAACTCAAGTTTCCACCAGCAGATCTGCTGCCGGCTCCATGCAAACCCAGGATGCCCTCAACAGCCAGGTTCTCTGAGAACCACACCTTCATCATCCAACACCCCTATCTGGATCGTGGTTATAAGGGTCACAGTGTAAGGAGGCAATTCCGGATAACACTAGCCTAGTGTTTCCCAGATGTGCCTTTGCCAAACAGCATTTCCTCAAATACTATAAGCACGCTGCGCCCTGGGGTCTTTGCACCTGCAGTTCCCCCTTTCTAACATACAGCATGTTTTTTGGGTACCAGGGATGGAACTCGGGACCTTGTGCTTGAGAGGCAGGTGGTACCCCTTTCTAAAATGCTCTTTACCCACATAAGAGCAAGGCTCACTGCCTCATTTCATTTGTGTATTTACTCAAATGTCTCCCAGTCTAAAATAGGATCCTTGGGCTGGGGTTTAGCTCAGTGGTTCTGCTGCCTGCCTGCCTGCCTCACAAGCACACAGTCCCGAGTCCAATCCCTGGTGCAAACAAAACAAAACAAAACAAAAACCCCAATAAAATAGGATCCTCTTCCATCAGTTTCTGTCCCCTTCCCCTACAGTGCTCACCTCAATTTCCTAACATACTGGCTTGTTTGCATTCTTTCTGCCTCCCTCCATGAGAAGGGAAGCTGCCTGAATGTGGGGCTCACAACACTGCCCAGGACACATTCTGCGTCACCCTCACAATTCTGCAAAATTTCTATTCCACATACACTACTGTTCCTGCTTATACTGATTTATCCTTTGTTATATAAAAAGATAAAATTGTTACTACTCTCTATACAACACTGTTCAATTCTCACTGGCCACAGATGAAGAATGTGGGCCCTAGGCAGATGATGTAGTGGAGAGCACACTCCAGGCAGGGGCAGCTGCCTCTCGGATTCCTCAGCAGCCACTTCCCAGAGATGGATGTGTGTTCTGGACAAGAACATGCTCCGATTTCCCTGGTCCTTGGATTCCCAAAGCCCGAATTCTCAGAGATCACACTGCCATGTCCTGGGTAGTGTGGCAGCCCATGACACCTTCCAACACCCAGTGCACAGCCTGACTGCAGCAAAGTGCATAGCAGGCTACTCCGGGAGCCACCTGGCCCCGAAAGGCCGCAGGGTGCGCACAGGACATGTGCAGAGGACAGGACACAGCTGTGTGCAGTACCTTCAATGTTGTAGGCGAGGAGGTGGCTGATATCCCCCACTCCGGCTTTGTTTTCTTTTCCCTGCTTGGGGACATCAGCAGGCTTTAGAACCTTCCCCCAGAGGTTGAGCACTGTGGGTCACAAACAGGCTCTGCAGCCAGATGTCCTGGGCTTCACAGTCAGACTCTGCCACTTTCTGACTGATCTCAAGCAAGTTGTTTGTCTTTGCCTCAGCTTCCCCACCTACAAAATGAGGGCAGTACTAAACACTCTATATAGGGTGGTTGTGAGGTTTAAGTGAATTACAGGTAATAAGTGAAAAAAGCTTTAAATAATGCCAGGCACACAGTGAATACCAGGTACACATGTGGAACAGAAAGATGGGTGGACAGGAACACACACACGGGATACGATAGAACAGCAGGGTAAACCCAGCAATCTGCTTAGTACTGAGTCACCTGCTAGACCTGCATTTCTCACTGCCCTCAGAAGAGGGCACTTCCTCTCAGAAGAAAGGAAAATGCTGTTTATTTGAAGCTATAATAAAAACAAGCTTGTCCTTTACTGCTTCAGGAGCCCTTCGGGGCCCAAGGCATTTGGAAGCAGGTGCTTGCGGTGATGTGGTAAACAGACCCCGTACCACCAATGCACAGTATGGCAGCTTACAAAGTCTCAGAACCCACTGTCCCTGTCCCTCATGTGAAGTGAGCAGGTCCCTCTGCTGAACTGGGCAACCAGGGTAACTGCACCAGGATGGGGAAGAGAATCTTCTCTTGATTTTGCTTTATTTGTTTTGTTTTGATTTGAGACAGAGTCTCACTACATAGTTGAGACTGACCTGCAACTCACTATGTAGCCCAGCTGGTCTCGAATTCACAGCCATCCTCCTGCCTCAGCCTCCTGAGTGCTGGGATTATAGGCATGCGCCATCACACCAGGCTTCTCTTGATTTTGTTACCTCTAATTTTCTGACATGTTCAGAATTCTTATTTCAAAGAAAAAAAGGATGGCCTTTATCAAACCAGTCCTGAGCCTAATTATAGCCCCAGAGCGTCTCAGAAATATAAGAAGCATCTATCCCAAAGACAGATTCTAAGTCTTTTGGGTGCTCCCATGTGACCTGACCTTCATCTGTGTATGGACCTAGGTAAGAATGTACCTGTCTGTCTGTCTCTATCTCTCCCTCTCCCACGGGTTCAGCTTCTCTGGAGAACCCTGGGGATGCTCCGGAGGTTCAGAGAGCTCACCCAGGGGCTGACCATGAGCTCTTCAAGGCAGCATCCCTTCCTCACTTCCATCAGAGGCTCTACTGCTCGGACCTGAACTTCCTGCCCTCAATCAGTACAGAGATGGCAGAGGCAGAGCCATCTCATCAGGGAGGGTTAGAGCCGAGAAGCCCTGCCTAGCGCTGTCTCGGAGATGAAAAATGAGGTCACAACTAGTCAAGGAAACCCTTGGTGTCCTTCACTTATTCAGGGAAGGATGATTAGGGTCATATTTAGAGCTGACTTAAAGGCAATGACATTTTCAGGTGCCCAGGCTGACCACAGAGGTTCTCCTGCCTTGCCTGGCAGGCTGGCAGGTATGTGCAGCTCATATCCAGGTTCACCCAGGATCATGCTGAGGCAGGAAGCAGGTATGTATGTGACCTCTGTCAGCCCCCAAAGTGCCATGGAGGTGGCCCAGGGACTTGGACTGTGACATTGTCTACATCTAGAACACAGTCCCACAGAGCTCCCATACATCAGGGCAAGATCACCAGAGCCCCCAGGAGAGGACGAAGGGTCTGGGCTACTGGAGCATGGTGTCCACTGGTTTTCCCAGGGCCACACGTGGACCCTCGCTCCCACTTCCCACTGCAACCAGGCCACTGCTCCTTCCACTGTGGGGACCAAGGGACTGCTGGTCAGGAAGTTCTGGCCACAAAGGGCAAAACATCTCCCCAGAAAGGAAGGACAGAGGCCAAAGGAGTAACAGATAGGAGAGAAAGGACCAGCTGGCCATGTGTGGTACAAAAACCCCAGACAGCTGGGCAGGCAGAGCTTGTGTAGCCCAGTAAAGAGGCCAGTGGTGCCCAGGGAGGCTCCTAGTTGTGGTCCAGGAAAAGTGCTCTTGCTCCATCCTGGACTCTCGTATTTAGTAGAGGGCCTCACATGTACATGGTTCTCAGGAAGTGTTCGTAATGAAAGAGCAAGTAGATGGAGGGGCAAATGGTGAACTCAACCACAAATTCCCCAAATTCTCCCTGCTGCTCCCATCGCAGCCCAGGTTTAACCTGCAGCAGCAGGTATGTGTGGACATCCTTCCAGCTGAAGGAAAAGGCCACCACTGTGCTACCTGCCCACCCTCCAGAACAGCAGGAGCCCTGGAGAGGCAGCCAAGTCTCTGCCTCACATCATAGCCCCACCCCCATCTCTGTGTCACTGGTAGGGAGTTGAGACAAAACCCAGGATACCTGGCTAATTTTGATTTTCAGATAAACAATAAATAATCTTTAGTATAAAAGTGTCCCAAATATGGCATGAAACCCATTTATATTAAAAGGCTATTTATTGTTTATCTGAAACTCAAACTTAAGTGGGTATCCTGTACTTCTATTTGCCAGACTTAGGAATCCCTTCTCTGGCCAATCTCGGATCTTCCACATCCGGTATCCTCACCCCTGAAAGTACTAACATTACCAAGCACCATTTGAGAGCCTGTTCTATGCTAGCTCCTCTCCCTGCATGGCCTCCATTAACACGTATGGCCACCTTCAAGGTCAACAGTAGCATCACCCCCATTTTGCAGACAAGGAGGATTGATGCTTAAGGTCAAATCCTGTTGCTGGTAAGGGGCAGGGCTGAGGTCTGAATCCAGATCCACAGTCCCAGAGGTCACATGAAGCCCAACTTCTCCTTTACCCATCACCCCCCACCCCCTTGGCATCAGCCAAACTTGCAGTGATGGATTCCATGGCAAAGAGCTTGACCATGACCCTAGGCGGAGGGGTCTTGCTCAAATCTGCCTGGAGGTGGGTCAGATGGGCCACTTCTCCCTTCTCAGAGTCAGGTTCCCCATCTCAGAAGCCTTGGACTTTGGGAATCTCTCGGGTCCTGCCCTGGAAAGTCTGTGTAGAGACAGATTTCTGTACCTGCACCACCTTCCTGTTTACTTGGGGGCACAGCTGAGGCTCAGAGTGTCAGTACCGTCCTGAATCAGAACCGTCACTCAGCAGGAACTTACCAGGCACCAAGCCCTACACAGAGTACCCTACGTGTGCACTATCTCGAGCCACACCAGGTCACCATGGAGCAGGAGTTTCCCACCTACACTTCAGATATGGTTTAAGTCAGCTCCCCAGGGCCTCGTGCTAGAAGCCAAGTCGCTTATGTGGTGGTGCAGAGGTGGCAGAGCCTCTGAGAAGTGGGGCCAATGGCAATGTGGCAAGGTCATGGGGGCACGGCCTTTGGAAAGGACTAATGCTGGTCTTGCAGTTTATTGATTCTCAAGAGAATAAAATTTTATGAACTGATGTCATTTCATGCACTTTTCTCCTACACAGGCCAGGTCCCTTTTTGCTTCTCTGCCATGTTGTGATTAGGACATCAGTGCCATACTGTTTGGCCCCTCCAGCCACCAGATTTGTGACTCAAGTAAACCTCTTTGCTTTTTAACTTACACAGCCTTGGGTATTTCATTACAGTGACACAAGACACACCAGCACACCTTGTTTCTCAGGTAGCAGACTCTGTTTCTCAGAATCTTAGAGAGGACAATCAGGGCAGGCAAGGATGCTGACAACTTGGCTTTCTTTTTCTATCCTATGTTAGCCCAACCTGGGGCCCCACAGGAGGTTTTCTCTGTTGTTTCTACTTTAGAAGAACACAAGTGAGGCTCACAGAGCCCGACCAACTGTTGTGCTGAGCCCCCCACTAAACACAGCCACAGCCAGACCTAGTTTGCTCCTCACCCTGCTGCCACGGCACCCAGCCTGTCTGCCAGGGTCCTGCAGCCCTTCTCAGGCAGAGAGGGCTGAGGGTCCCAGCAGCTGCATCCAGGGCTCCCCAAGTTTCTTCTTTTTATTGAGTTTATTGGTACATTTTAGGTACACAGTACAGTTACATTCATTACTGGGGTCTTATACCTTTACATGACAGGTCTTGGTTCTCATTTTTTCCCCTTATCCCTGCCCTCCCTTCGCCCCCTCCAAAGTTTCTTCTTGCTGTCTTCTGCCAGGACTCAGAGCTGAACAGCCGGGCTCCAGGGAGGACTGGTGCTTTGGAAAAGTCCCCACTTGTCCCACTCCCAAGGTGCCAGGGCTGAGAAAAGCTTCAAGGGTGACATTTCTTTATTTATTACCCTGACTGAACTGCGGTTTCTGGCATCTGGCATCTGTTAAAAGGCCCCCTCCTTTCCCAAGTTCCTCTTATTACTTCCCAACGTGCCTTATCGTGGTCAGCTGCCAGGGCTGGCTCAGAGGGCACAGATTCACCCCAGCAGAGGGAGGAGGCCACTGATCCCACCGGGGACACTCGAGGCTGGCCTGTGGTGACGATGCAGCTGCTCTGCCAGGGAGTGTGCCAGCTCCAAAACTACCTGCCTGTGGAGGATCAATCAGCTCTGAGCCAGGGTTGCTGAGCAATCGCTGTACCCCCATCCAGTGGTCCCCGGGTAAGAGCCAGACTTCAAGGAGGCAGTCAGTGTCCTACAAACAGCCTGCTTCACACAGAGACACCACTGCCCGCAGGGGTCAGAGGGCCAGGACACAGGAGTGCAATTTCTAAAAGCTACCCCCGCTCCCCAGGTGGACCCCCAGGTCTGGGACTAAAACGAAATATTGATTCTCCCGTTCCCTTGGAAAGACTAAGGCAGCTCTCACTGTACCAACGTGAGCCAACTTCTAAAACATATCACTCAGCTAAAGAGCAAGATATGAGCAGTGCACACACCCTCCTTCCTCCTGGGACGAGCTTTAAAGGAGCTCTGCATCTGAACCCACACTCCAAGCCCAATCCTCTCTTGCTGTGTCCTCGGGCAAGTTATCTCACTCTGCATAGGTTTCCTCACCCCCAAAAAAGAGATAGAAGCATGTGCCTATAATCCCAGGAATCTGGGAGGCGGAGGCAGGAGGACTGAAAGTTTGAGTTCAGCCTGGGCAACTTAGTGAGAACCTTTCTCAAAATTTTAAAAATAAATAGAGTAAGGTAGGCTGGGGATGCAACTCAGTGAGAAGACATTGAGTTCAATCCTCAGTACAAGATGTGGGGTTTGGGCTCGCTTCAGCAGCACATATACAAGATGGGGGGTTTGGGGGAGAAGGGAGAAGAGAGACAATGAGAATAAAGGACCCATCTCCTAAGTTTATAGTATTTAAATGCTTATAAAAGATGCTTTTAATATTGCCTACATAAATGCTACTAGTGCTAAATACACTGAAATTCACAGAAGTATAGAATATCTCCAAAAGTGATGAGGAGGCCATTGTCACTGTGCAGGAACCAGATATCTGGGGACTAGTAAGAGAGAGTCTTATTTTTCCATATTACCCTTTTCAACTTTTGCACTATTATATTATGTGCATCTATTACCAATTCAGAAATAAAAAATGGGACACATTTTTTCAAACAAAGCCTGGAGCTGTGCAGCTTTGGCAGGAAAAGAATGACAGCCAGCAGTGTGCAGGGAAAGTAGGTAAGAGAACACACTCAAATCATATAGCCTGAAGCAAAGACCTGTGCCTACAGTGGGGGAGATGGGGAGAGTGAGAACCTAAAGTCCTTTGTTACAGGGTTGTGAGAACTCTAAGCTTGGTCCTAAAAGACACAGCTTTGGAACTGGTTCAGAGTCAGGATGTCCCTGTGATCCAGGTGTGCACCCTCCCCATGAGCCCTCGGCTGGGTGGGCACAGGGACCACCCAGACAGGCTGCGTGGCTTATTGGCAGGAGCACTTCCTTAGGTTGCTGCCCATGCTCCTCCAAGGAATTTCTCCACCAGCTCATGGGCTAGCTGGTCCCTGCCAGGTGGCTCTGCTCTGTGTAGTACAGTCTTGTAACCCTCAAGGTTTCTGATCATGGTAATCCTCCTTCCAGGATTCTATCTGCACTCTGCACATGATTGAGCATGTGTGTGTGTGGATGTGTGTGTGTGTTGCTGGGGACTGAACTCAGCGCCTCCCATATGCTAGGCAAGCACTTTACCACTGAGCCACATCCCCAGCCCCCAGGATTCTACCCTTAAGGATACAGAGGCCCAGGACATTTAAGTTCCTTTAACTCTGCTAGAGAGGGCAAACCCACAGTCTAGAAGTGTACACAGAGATCACAGACAGTTTGGCCTTTGCTTTGTTGAGGTCACTCGGGTAACCCCAGGGGTCAGATGCCCTTAGGACTGATGGCAAAAGCAGATGAAGGAGGCCATGCTTTATCACCTCCTCCACCTCAGGTAGGATCTCTTGATCATCAGCAACTGGGGTCTGTGGTTGTGGAGATGGCCCCTTCTGGACTCTGCTGTTCCAGTGTTCCAGAAGGAACAGAACATGTGTGCCCTGACAGTAGATCAGATGAGCCCAGACTACAACCAGGATGTCACCACCCAACTTCAGCAAAGCAGTCATATCTGCCCGGCTTTCCCAGCACATTG